ACAACTGCAAACTTGGCAGCATCTAAAGCTATCATTGCAACTCCTACTGCTTTTTCAGCAATCCCCAAAGCTACATATGCAACTGCTCGTATAGCTGCACATATAATATTTGCAGCAATGCATAATGGATCCGTTATTTTAATTCCACAGCCTGATAGATAATATGAAGGAGATGGAATCCTTAAAAACCGAGTACGTCGCCAATGGCATTTTATGAAGGGAATGCATATTTTGTGACAATTTCGCATTTGACAGAGGTTATCAATGTCAAGACGTTTTTCCCTTAACCAGTCTTTTGCAGATTGCACATCATCTTGGAGACTGTCAATCTCTGCTACTGCATTGTCTAACGCATTTACAGCTTCGTCAAATTTGTTGTTTGCCTTATCAACATCTTCTTTTTTGTCTTGTAACCATTGTTGAGCTCTACTGACACCATCCTGGGCATCTGTAACCAAATCTTGGGCTTGTGTCAATCGCAAAGTTGCCTTTTCCCCAAATGCATTGGCTGCATTTATCAGTGCATCTGTCATTCTCATTGGTAAAGACTGGGTCCCAAAACCAAACTCCCCTCGTACCGTCCACCTTTGATCAGACCAAGGAACAAAAACTGAAGCCTGCGCAAATATTGTAGCATAACACACATCCCAAATATATCCATCAATTTCAAAATGAATTACCTCGTTGGTGACAAAAACATTCGCTTCTGCATTTACACCAAGAATATTAACGCCACCAAAGAATCGAAACAAGAACTCGTCTGTGTCTGGTGCTAAGGCAAACACGCCGCCTAAATACTTATGGCCTATTGTCAGTATTTTGTATTTTATGCTGCGAGCCAATTGAATTAAACCTTTTGTGGCCTTATCATCTTTAAACAAACCATACAGATCACTGAATCTACTGCATTCACCTAACATGTTTGACTTTACAATTTCAATCTGAACTGACCCAAAACCCAATGCAACAATATTGAGTTTTGCTTGAAACATCAGACCCACTCCTGTGTAATCTTTCCTTATTTTCAATACGTTTTCCACATATAGCAGTGCACATCGTTCAATATTACTCTGTAACTGATGTGCATAGTTGAGAAGCGAGTCGACACTACCAGTAGATAATCTTGTGGATTCATCAGCAAGTTGTTGTTGTAGATCGGTGCATATGTACATTATTTTCTGGGCACGTGACCTTACAGGCGATAAGATATCTGGTAAATCACTGAATAATTCTCTTCCAATGACAATAGTTTCTAGGTCTTCTTTGAAACCAATTAGTTCTAATGTAATTTCTCTGAGTGCTGATTGGGTAAATTCAGAAACGTTGTCAATAAAGGTATTGATCAGTAACACCATCTCATCTATACTGGGAAGTATGTCTACGATAAGATCTATAATGTCACGTTTAGGAAGTGCTGCGATTTCATCAGAAATGTCATATGTAATGAATGCATTGATATTGGTATCCAGTGTGACTCCAAACAACCTTGCCATCATTGAGTTACCAAAAGGATTTGTAGACAGTTGACCACGAAAGAAAAATCCAGGTGGATCAGCACCAGAACCACACCATCGTCTTTCAGTGCCTGGTGGTTTGATGAATATAAAGTACATGTGTTACTCAGCTAATGAATTCAAATTCATACCAACCAACCAAATAATTTTTAATTCTATAT